GGGTTATTTTATCCTAAAAATATAAATGGTCAAATGATTGGTTTTGCAGATGCAGGATATTTATCAGATCCACACAAAGCTCGATCCCAAACAGGATACATATTCACGATTGGAGGTACTGCTATATCATGGCGTTCTCAGAAGCAGACACTTGTAGCTACTTCTTCAAATCATGCTGAAATCATTGCACTCCAGTGAAGCGAGTAGAGAATGCGTGTGGCTACGATCAATAAGTCGACACATTCAAACGAGTAGTGGAATTCGTCTGAATACGGAGCCAACTATCTTGTATGAAGATAATGCTGCATGTGTTGCTCAGACAAAGGAAGGATATATCAAAAGCGATAGAACCAAACATATCCCTCCGAAGTTCTTTTCATACACCCAAGAGCTCGTGAAGAATAAAGACATTGAAGTAAGATATGTCCGATCATCCGAGAATTCTGCGGATCTCTTCACGAAATCATTACCCACCTCTATATTCAGGAAACATGTTCATAACATTGGAATGCGTCGTCAACAAGACTTGTAAGTTATGATCCTGATCATTCGAGGGGGAGCTTGCGCGGTTGCACTCTTTTTACCTACTATGGTTTTTCCCACCGGGTTTTCCTAGAAAGGTTTTTAACGAGGCAACAGAAGACATTACGCAAGAGACATAGTGACACTGGTCTCCAAGGGGGAGTGTTATAAAAGTCGTGAAAAGGAGGAATCGTAAAGTCGCAAAAGATGCGCACATGGGTTAAACGTTTCGTTATTTATTAATTTATGTGGAGCCCACCATCACTATGCACGCATAGTAATTTACTTTTTTACGCCTATATAAACGAACAAATTCGTTCGATGTAAAATCACAATTCATTACTTCAATTACAAGAGAAGTAATAATCTCTCTCCCTCTCATCTCTTTATTTTCAGTATCCCGATCCTTCTGCGGGTATAAATTTTTTCTCTATTATTTATATTTATATACACCATAAAATAAAGTAATTATTATAACAGAAACAAATTTATTGGTTAAAATTAGTTAGATTAATGTATTTGTAGTTGTATAGCCATCTAAAACTATAAATGTCTCTTACTTTTTAGTTTCTAAATGTCAACAAAAGCCAATTTGAGTTTTTTTTTTTTTGGGAGTGTTTGGAATAGTGACTTTCAATTATTGTAAACAGTAAAACAGAACTACTCTAAAATCACCTTGGGAGCCTTAAACTTTATAATAATTCACATGGAACATAGAACTTGTGTAACAATTATATCACAGACACTCCACATGCTCATATAATACGATAAATCGAGAAGCATGTCATTCAACTTTTGCGGCCCTATGTGAATGTGACTATGTCATCCATTTAATACAACTTTTATTATTATTCAGAAAAATCATCAGTTAACAATATATATCTGCTGCAAAACTAATTTATTTGTTTCTATGTCGCCCTTAGTCTAACCACATGCTCTTAGTGTGATGCTCGATTCGTTTGGTTCATTTATAAGATATGTTCACTAGAAAATATACAGGAAAACTTGATACATGTTTATATGTTTGTTTAATACATTTATGTATGTTAACATGCCCTGTGACTAAAAAACACTTATACATGCGTGCATGCGTAGATAATGGCAAATAATATAAGTTATACGCTATGCTTCGTAAAAAGAAAAGACAAACATACGTGATTGTGTTTCGCATTTAATTTTGGTTTGAATCGGTTTTAAGAAATTCGAGCTTCTGTAGAAATTCAACTATGAATACCAAAATTGAATTTTGGGTTGAAATCGGTTTGGCTTCGGATAAATATATAGTATATTCCAGTAAAAAACGGTTTACTATATTCAGCTGCACTAGATTTGATTTTGGTACATGAACACAATGTCACCAACGGTTTAGTCTCAAAAAGTGAAAGCCCATCAATCAAACCAATGAAATGGGCAGCAATTAATTCCCTCAAAACCCTGTAAATCTAGAAAAGCACCAACATTTTTACCGTGAGGTTAAAAAAGGCAACCAGCATCAGTCCCACAGTCCCCATAAATACCCGTAGTCCTTCCCGCTTTCTCTCAGCCTATCCAATACACATCTCTCTCTCTCTCTCTCTCTCTCTCTCTCTCTCTCTCTCTCTCTCTCTCTCTCTCTCTCTCTCTCTCTCTCTCTCTCTCTCTCTCTTTCATAATGACGGCGACTGCGTTTGGGATCGGCTTGTGGTTGGCCGTTACGGCTTCCTTTCTCTTCACCGCTTCAAACGCCAAAATCCCCGGCGTTTACAGCGGCGGCCCGTGGCAGAACGCACACGCCACTTTCTACGGTGGTAGTGACGCCTCCGGCACAATGGGTATATATATTCACTTCCTTACCAAATCCACCATTGTTGATTTCATTTCGTGTATAACCATGAATTATGATTTCTAACTTCTTGTTTTTTTTTGAGAAGTTTCTAACTCTTTTTTGTTCTCTCTGTTTTTGTTTTTGGCGCGTGGGTTTTGCTAGGCGGCGCGTGTGGGTACGGGAACTTGTACAGCCAAGGATACGGTGTGAACACGGCGGCGTTGAGCACTGCTCTGTTCAACAACGGATTCAGCTGCGGTGCTTGTTTTGAGATTAAGTGTACTGATGACCCGAGATGGTGTGTTCCGGGAAATCCGTCTATTCTTGTGACGGCGACAAACTTTTGTCCACCGAATTTCGCTCAGCCGAGTGACGACGGAGGATGGTGTAATCCGCCGCGAGAGCATTTTGATCTCGCCATGCCTATGTTCCTCAAGATCGGTTTGTACCGTGCCGGCATTGTCCCCGTCTCCTATCGCAGGTCTCTCTCTGTTTTATTTTGCATCTTTTTGGTTTTGTCGGCTATTATAATTTAGTGAATCAATAAGAGTTTAAGTATTTAAGTGTAAATAATACGGTGAAGAAATTAAACAAAGAACCATATGGATGATAGTGACTTTTGCAAATCTAGATTAATACTTTTTTTTTGTTGTTAAAAAGGAGATTAATGTTTTGAAGGGAAATAGTGTTTTATTGTGTAAAACAAATTAGAGCTTTAAGTTTTAGAGAAATTGCACTAGATAACCTAAAAAAACAACAAAATTAAATATCTAACTTCTAACCCCCTATTCACTCTCTTTCTCTCCCTATCTCTCTCTACCTTCTTTCTAAAAAACTAATTTTTTTTTTTTTTTTGGTTATTCACCTAATTCACTCTAAGTTTTATTATGCTCTATAATATGCAAGAAAATATAGAGTTTCACAAACATAGATACTTTTTCATGTGAATTAGACGTTTTCAAAATTTCTTGTTGAAATAGATATTTTCCAATTTTCAAAATAAAAATAAAGCCCTTTATAAATCTAAAGATTCTTTGTTAAAATGCCTAGATGCCTTAAAAAAAAAAGTTTTATTTTTCACAATATTTTTTTTTTAGGTTCTGTTTCTATAATTAACTTTAAAAAGATATTTCTACCGACTACCGAACATGTTCTTTGTTTACCTCTAGGCTTGTAGCACTTTTAGATAACGGCCAATGTGTTTCAGAGTTCAGAAACTGAAAACATCACTCTCAATTATTATTATTTTTTGTTTCTTTCTCTTTATAAACAATTTAAATACGAATATTTTTATAGTATTTCCAATTATCTTTTCGGGAAACCAAGCAGGACACATAGACACAGTAACCCAGAGATCCACCTCTCTCTCTCTCAGCCTCAGTCTCACTTGTCTTGTTGTTAATAATTGTCTGAATTTCTGTTTCCTCTGAAGGGTACCTTGTCGGAAGATAGGAGGGATAAGATTCACAGTAAACGGATTCAGATACTTCAATCTTGTTCTGGTAACTAACGTTGCCGGCGCCGGAGATATTAACGGAGTTAGCGTAAAGGGATCAAAGACAGATTGGGTGAGGATGAGTAGGAACTGGGGACAGAACTGGCAGTCCAACGCCGTCCTCATCGGCCAATCACTCTCTTTCCGAGTCACCGCCTCTGATCGACGTTCCTCCACCTCATGGAACGTTGCTCCTTCCACGTGGCAGTTTGGTCAGACTTTCTCCGGCAAAAACTTCCGAGTCTGAAGTCCGAAAACACCCAACAGATCAATACTCAGATGTTATTTTTATTTTATTTTTAATATGAGAGACAAAAACAAGAAGAGAGATGGGACATTTTCCAGCCCTGGGTTTTCTCTTTAATTTTCTTAGGAAAATTCCGGTGGCTTGTGGAATATGTTTCCTTTTTTAGTATTATTATCAGCAAAATTTATTTTTTATGTTTGCGATTTAATGGTGATTTGTTTTCTCTTTTCTTTTCTTGATCCTCAGAATAAAAGTGCTGCTAGTATTAGCCAGAGAGTGATTTGTTTTTCTTTTGGTTATGTTTCCTTTAGTTATTTCGTTGGTGGCATCTTCTTTCTGCTAATAAGCCAAAGAGTGGGGAACAGTCTTATGATCGAGTCGGATGGACCGTGTAATAGGCCATTGGGCCAATATATATATAAAATCTGAAATTATAGATTGCAATTTTTTGGAAACTTGATTTCACAAAAACATTTGATTGTAGGCAAATGGTTAATGAAAAAGTTTAAAAGTTCTAGTAAGTGTTGGACTATCTAAGAAAATAGACGAATTTAAACGGATATGCGAGTTTGTGAGGTTATGGAGGAGTCATTACTTTTTATTGCATTTCTGTGTGTGTGTGATTGTGCGTGTGATTTCTTTAGTACATGTCCTGATGTAGGTGGATGTTATGCTTTATCTTATCGTTTTTGAGGTTGTAGCCAATTATATAAACTATAAACTGTCTGAATTTTAAGGATCTTATCATATGGTTGCAAAGTTTTAAAAACTTGATAAGAACGATAGATATAAACTGAATGCATAAAGAAATGACATTTGTTGATGAAGATGATGGGCATTGAGCGAAAATCCATATGTGGTTCTTAGCTTATAAGCTAAAATCGAATGTGCTGTTCTGAATTTCTAAGGATCTTATCATATGGATTGCAAAGTTGACAAGTGCCATAGATATAAATAGATTGCATCAAGAGATGGCATATATAGATGAACAGAAACATCGCAATGGTAGGGGCACTATATTCAAACATGGATGAATCATTTAAAGAAATTGATCGTGCCGCCTTGTGAGCTTGGTTAGCTTGATTTGAAATTTCAAAGCTATTCCAATTCTACAACGATTTAAGTTCAAAAGAAAAGAAAGAAAAAAGATGCAATACTCACCAAACTTCTATTCTAGTTATTCCATTACAAAGGTCACGAACGATCACCAATCCCTTGCAACTGCTATAAAGCTCTGCGAGACGTGTGAGTACCATACCAAACCGGAGAAACATTGCGAGTCTTGCATTCACCAATCAAAACTGCATAAACTGTGCAATAACCAGGATACGGCAGCGGCGTCTGCACAATTGAAAAGAACACTTAAATAGGTTGTTGATCAAAGACGGATCACAAATTAACAACTGGTAAAAAACATCCTAAGTGGCGTGACTTATGAATAGAGATGAAAACAGTTGCTTGAAACAGAAGGAAAGCTTAGAAATTATAAATGTACCCCATAAAGAACTATATGAGAAGATGGCAGTGCTTTAACCAATCCCTGAAAAGAGAGAAAATAGAGATGAAATCAACTGAATTATCTCCAAATCCAAAACATAACCTAGAAACAAATTACGGACCGAATCATGAATTACCTTTGTGGCTGAATCAGACAAACCCTCTTCAAGAGATCAGAACCGGAAACCATTACAACACGACGGAGGAATCCATCATTCTCACAATTTCAAACCCTAAATTTAC